GGCTACCCCTCGTGAAGGGTGTTGGGTTCGACACCTGCCCCCTTATACTCTCGTATCCTCCCACAAGGACGATTGCGAACTGTAAGACGACCTCATCGCTCGAACAGGTGGATTCCTCCACGAGGCCGTCCAAATCCTCTCCCCATGCACAAATCGATTGTGATAGATCCTTCATGATTGCCACTACCCGGGATCCATTTTATGCTGTTCGCCCTGCTTCGCATCGCATAGTTATACAAGCCGCCGATTCCAATTCTGAATGGCAATCCATATCTCGTACCCTATCCCAAGCCACGCCGGGCTGGCACTGTTGTTTGCAAACCAATATCTCAATTCTATATGGCAATCCATATCCAGTATTACGGACCACGGATCATGGAATCCAGTTGACGGATGTTTCCAGCAATGGCTGCAGACCAATATCTCAAATGTTGAGCTAACACCAAACATCCGTCAACTGGAGTCCATGATCCGAGGTCCGTAATACTCACCCCAACCGTATTCCAGCCCTGCACATGATAGGGCTCTGTTCTTGAATTTTAGTAAGGTCATGGACATGCATCAGGTTACTTGCACCACACACGGGCTGTCCTTCCGCTACCAGAGGTCGTTGAATTACATCCACAGCCCATTCATGTCCAATTCTGCCAAGGAGATACGTATTTGTGATAAGATGGTACAACCCACTTGTGTCCAATTTTGTGATTTACAAAAGCAGCCCTTGACATCACAAGCAATATGCCTCCTCCAGAGCCCAGTAACTACCCTCGCTAACAAGCATTTCCGCGCTATAGTGATATTGTTGACGATCGTGTGGCGACAATGGACTACACTGTTATACAGGAGTTAAAAAGACACATTTGAGGGCCTTTTCTTTGAAAGCTCTAAGTACCGCCTCGACGTCGACATCATGGATATGATAAAAGCACTGATGTGTGTGTGGGGTGTGTGTGTGTGTGTGTGTGTGTGTGTGTTGTCATATTCGCTGTACATGTGTGTGTGTGTGTGTGTGTGTGTGTGTGTGTGTGTTGTGTGCCTGTTTTAAATTTCCACCACAACAGCCCCCACTCCACCCAGACAAGTAGATTCGAGTTGAGCCAGCTCAACCATGTCACCTCTATAGCAAACAACATGAATCATAACAGAACCATTTAGAACTGTGATCGGCTGAGGTTCTTTTAGGCCAACAGCTCCTCTTTACTATGCCTTGCACGCTGTCCACGTTGATTGTGGTTAAGCGGCAGCTGCCCGCATCGCCATGCGTGTGTGCGTGTGTGTGTGTGTGTGTGTGTGTGTGTAATGTGTGTGTGTGTGTGTGTGTGTTTGTGTGTGTGTGTGGGGGGAGGTTTGTGTACATAACACAGCTATCCCACAGAACGTGGGAAACAGGACTCAACTCAAGATCGTCCATTAGTATGTTGTTAGATAGCAATTTAGCCATGGAGGAAGTATGTTGCAGAGGTAGACAGGGTGTGAAGGTAGGGGTCTTAGGTTATTGCAGGAGCAGTGATTAAGATGTTAATGTTAGTGTGTTAGCAATTAGGAAAGGGCAAAGCCCAGYCGTAGGGGGGGTGCRCGCCCTGAAGCGCGYTTTTCGCCGCTTAGCACCCATAGCAGCTCATCAGAGGGATTAGTCGTTAGCAAGGCTCCAATTAGCACAAAGGGTGGTAGGGAGTTGTAGTCAGGGGGTCGTGGGAATACACAACATGGGCGATTAGGGGTAAGTGTACAGAGGATCTGTACCTGAGGTGTCATGTCTGGAGAAGCGGCATAGTCAGTTGCCGCCGTAGCTGCCACAGCTGTTGAGCTTCGGCGTAGCGATGGATCAGGAGCTCTGGTGGTCGAAGCACAGATTGGCCGGCCCAAGAAGGTGCCTTGCCCGCAGCAGACAAACGGTTAGCTTGCCTGGTTGCGTCGTATGAGGGGGATGAGGAGATGCAGTTGGGAGAAGACGGTGGGATGAGGAAGTTCTTCGCATGCGTGGCAAGTATGAGTCGGAATGCTCCGTAGCGCCGGTGTAGTCATAGGCAAGCTGCTGTAGATAGTAATGCAGGCACGCTTCATTATATCTTGTTATGTGAGGTTTGTAATGGGTATCGTGGCGTTCGTGTGTATAGGATAGCTTAATCGTTATTGTTTTTTTTTTTAATTATTTTAATTAAAAAATTAGCTCGCCGAAAGGTGATATTCGTTCTGGTTTGGTAAAACGGGGCGTATTTGGTAAATTTTAGGGGTCTTTGTAGGTGTACGGGTTATGCTTGTGTGTGATCGGTTGTCGTACAATTTATGGGGTCTGGCCGTAGGTGGGGTGATTATAGTTTTGAACTTTAGTGGTAGTGACATATTTGCTTTGCTTTGTAGTTCCCGCGTAATGTTATTGTCTTCTTCTTTCGCGGCAATCAACTTCAGAGCTCGGCGGTGGTCAGTATTTTGGATGGGTTGCAGTCTAATTAGCTGTTTAAAGAAAGTGGCATATTTCTTTTGTCGAGTTTTTTTGTCCTGGTTATCAGATGCCGATCTTCATGGGGATGCTTCACGAGTTCTTGTTTTTTTGTGTGTCTTTCTTCGCGGGGTGTTGCGTTGACGGTTTCATTTTTTGCTGTCGTATTTGTTTCCTTTTCTTCATTTTTGTGTCTATACATGTGTTCGGGTTTTTATTATTATTCATGTCCCTTAGTTTTTCTTGAAAGAAATGTTTGCCATATTTTCATATTTTATTATGTTATTAGTTTAGTATTTTATTACTATTTTATTATTTTATTATTATTTTTACAAAATTATTTTATTATTATTATTATTTATTTTAATTTTAAATTTTTAATTTATTATTAAGCTTTATTATTTTATTATTATTTTTATGATTTTATGATTTCATTATTTTATTATTATTAACTTATTTTTATTTTTCATTTTTATTTTTAAGTCTTATTTTTAGTTTTTAATTTGTTATTAAGCTTTTTTTTATTTAAACATATTTTATATGCTTGTGTGTGTGTGTGTGTGTGTGAGTGTGTGTGTGTGTGTGTGAGAGAGTGAGAGAGAGAGAGAGAGAGAGAGAGAGAGAGAGAGAGAGAGAGAGAGAGAGAGAGAGAGAGAGAGAGAGAGAGGATGGGGAGGTGGAGGTGGTAGTTGCCGTTGCCAGTTCAACAAATGCAATCATGCACATGTACTGCTCCAACAGTCCTATAAACTGTTTTGCTGATCTGAGTTTGACAAGTGCAATGTAAAGGTTTGCTCCTGACATCAACCATGAAGTGCTTATGTCTAAAGCTCCGGCTGTTCGTTATGATGCCACAAACATGAGCCAGTGCTAGAACTCGTATTCTGCTCTTAGTTCCAACAGCAAGCATATAGGCTGCGCCATTGCGAACACTCGGGAATGGCACATGCACCATTGCGGACTGTTCGACATGCTTGTTGTTCTACTGATGTTAACGGCCTGGCACGCTTTTTCCACCGAATTTGGCCACAATGACACTATAGGATACATCCAAGAAAACCTTGCTGTGAGCATGTCCTGACTCGAGAGTGAATTCGCATGTCGGTAGACATAAATTCTCCAGTTTCTATAATGTGCTATACATTCTCTACTTTATGTTAATGTGCTATGTACTTTGATCAAGGAAACCTGTTTTTAGCATTTGCTATTTCCTGAGACATTTTACAGTTCACAGCGCTGTCTTTCCCATCTTAGACCCCAATCGCTAGGTGTCATGTGCCTCATGTCCTTGTTGCTTTGGTGATTGCTGAGATAAATCAACTGCTTACTCTGCCCTTTTCAGGAGGGTCTCCTTTGAGGGCCTCAGGACTGAGTCCATTCAAGGGGTCTTGGACTAACAAGTTCCAGAGTCTCATTTCATGGTCTCATTTCATTTCGGGGTCTCATTTGACAAAAGGAAAGGGGGGGGGGGGGGGGCTGGGACTAACAAGTTTGCAGTTATGTCCTCCAGTCTGGTCTACTCTTTGGTTACGTCAAAAGGCGGAGACCCTGATATTTGTCAATCTGAGCCCCACCCGCGCCTCGATGTATCATATGCGCGCGCACCCAAACCCATGTAAACCCACAATTCTTTACCCTGGCCCAGATTTACTGATGCTCACTTGGAAAATATCTACCCCTACACTATGGCAACACCCCCCTAAAACAAATACCACAATAGGAAGAGGCCCTGGCAGGTGCTATGTTCATTCTACAAAACCATGGACACGAGGACTGGCCTTAAACCACCAGTACCTCCTAAAAGTGCTCCGCGTTAATGGCCAGCCGAAAGTGGAAATCGCACCGTTTCCACTTGGCTGAATCAGGCCTATCGGCCCAGGCCCGTTCATCCCAAAAGCCACGCCCGTTAACGCGGAGCACTTTTAGGAGGTAAACCACCAGTACCTCCTAAAAGTGCTCCGCGTTAACGGCCAGCCGAAAGTGGAAATCACACCGTTTCCACTTGGCTGAATTGGGCCTCCCGGCCCAGGCCCGTTCATCCCAAAAGCCACGCCCGTTAACGCGGAGCACTTTTAGGAGGTACTGGTAGTTTACCTGTTGTAGTCCTAAGGGCTCGGGTCCCCCGGATCAACCTTCAGCCAGACATAACCAGTCCCATGCTTTGGCATGACCGGCTGCACCTGTCCGACATGCTTTCTTTCACCCAGGCACACCTGCCCGATACGGCCTCAACCCACCCCTATCCCCTCAGCAGATTCCCTCACCCAGTCAACCCGCACCTTACTCATGTTTTCACACCCACATCAATCCGTACCTGCAGCGTCAAGCTGTGTACAACTGGCTCAGACCACAGCCAGATGCGGCGCATATCGGGACTTTATTGTCATAAATATGAGCCTGAAGTTTCCAACAGCACAGACTAACAGTGGATCTTTGCTGGAAGCATCTGGATGAGACATACGATTCACAAGTTTTCAAAGACCTGTGAACAATATAAAAATGACAGAGTATACCGAGACAGTTGCACCACAAGTTTTCGACCTACCATCTTCCCCCAAACGTAACGCATATGCTTTGATTCGAGTTTTCAAAAAGAAAATGAGGACTCAAATAGAATGCATCATCCGGGTTCTAACGCTGTTCGAATAGAACGCACATGCGTTGTATTTGAACAGAAAGCAACTTATGTGTCGTATTCAGTTTGCGACTCTTATGCATTATGTTCAGGAGAAGACGGTAGTCCATCAAGAATTGCGGTCTGATATATCACTGAAAGTCCTAACATCAGTATGCCGTCAGTGGTTGTCCCCTCTCTCTCTCTCTCTCTCTCTGTAGGTTGGGAACACCTTCAACTGCAATGGGATAGTTTGGGATTTTATAATGCAGGGATTTAAAAATTGGAGTCGGGGATCGAAAATTGAATATCGAATATGAGAATCTGCAAAGAATTAAGGGTGGACGATAACATAAACAACCAACCAGAGTTGATGCTGCAACTAGAGTTCCTGCGAAGCCAGTGCAGAGATATGAAATGGAATGACAAAGCCTCAGGATTTCGATCTCGCCGAAAGAAACCTGCTAAAGTGAGCGCGAATCGATGCCAGTAGAGAGTCATGAAAACGGGGAGGCTTATGTATACCATCCATGTCCGGTCAATTCAAAGCCTGAAGCTTCCGATATTGCCTTTGAGAATTGTGAAGCAGATTGAACGGGGACATTTCGTAGATCATAACAGCTTCATGATACTCTCATAGACTAGAAACGTGATTGCCGACGCCGGCATTACTCGCAGAGCATGTGGAGCAAACCCCTTGTAGAGCCCCAGCAGGCCTTCATATCTGCAATAGCAGTTGGACAAAAAGGTCACAGGCAATGCAACAATAAGCAAACATCATCATTTCATGATGACGCCTAGGCTGGCAGAGTGGCCAGGGACCACTTCCCCACGTGGGCCAAAACAAAAACAAAAGAAAGAAAGAAAATCTGATTTAAAAAAAATATATATTTTTAATCTTTAATTCAGTAAAGAAGTTCAATGTCACCCTGAGGCAAAAGTTGTTCAGCTTATTTTTCTGCATAACATATATATATCGTCACAAACAGAACTGCCCGGTAAACCGTATATATCGTCACAAACAGAACTGCCCGGTAAAACCGTAGGCAGAGAGAGAGAAGAGGACAACAAACGAGGGGCTGTGACACTCCGACGAAACAGTTTGTCACAGCCCCTCGTTTGTTGTCCTCTTCTCTCTCTCTGCCTACGGTTTACCGGGCAGTTCTGTTTGTGACGATATATATATATACAGAGTTGCCAGGCCGAACGTACGGAGGCCCCTAAGCTGACCCCCGAACGTTCGGGCGTTCGGGTCCCCGTACGGGGCCCGAACTCGAAGGGGTTCGGACCCCGCAAAAAATTATCTTGGTACCTAAAAATTATTTTTTTTTTCTGATTTTGTTTTTGTGAGTTCTGTTATGTAAGCTACCTGTCTCTCAATTTTGAAGTCATTCTGTGGAGCCAAACAATAATGAAAAATCGGCAAAGATGGTGGTGTCAAAACTT